ACGTCCGCAGCTCCACCGGGCACTGTGCTTGCCAGGCTGTCACTGCCTCAGGCGCAAAAAACTGAAACAGGGTTTCAGGTTTAGGGTAATATTGGGGGTAATATGGGAAAAGAAAATGAAAACTGGTACAATAGGGTATATAGCCCCGAAACCCGTCTTCAATGGCTCACTGAAACCGAAACTAGGATTATAAGGGCTTAGGGTTAGAAATGCTTCGCATGCTTAGAAGCTCCACGGCTGTGCAGAAAAATACCGTCAAAGACACGCTATCTCCAGCTTCAGCACTCAGCTAAAAATGTGGAGGGAAGGGCCCAAAAAGGCAACCCACAGTGTCAATATGAAAGGCTTGGGCGCCAGCTTCCCAAAGGCGCCATACTGCCGCCAGCCACCGGTGCGAGACTGAAGCCAAGGACAGTTCAGGCTTCCAAAGACCAAAAAAAAATCAGTCTAACTATTCCCACCAGCAAGTCCTACATCCCTCCCATGGCAGCTGAAAACATGCCTTTGGCCGCTGTCTTGGCTTGTAGCGAATTTTTGCTTTCTGAAGCCCATGATACATTTGACATCATTTGACCCTCAACTGCTTCTTTTCAAGCTGGAGCGTTCAACTGGGGTGCGCGCGCGCCCTCGCGGCCCGAGCCAGGGAGAAAGGCGCCAAACCTGAATGAGCACGGGGAAAGACCCCCCTTACTGCTCACCCTTCGTGAAGACAGGCAAAACGATCAAACCAAATATTGTGTCGAGGTCCAGGACCGTGCTCCAGTGTACCCACCATTGATAGCAGACGCTCAAGACAACCCGAACCAGCCAGCACAGATTTTGGACTTGGGGGCAATCATCGAACAGCTGTAACTTAACCTTGGTTCCGCAATCATATAGCCCCTACATGCCACAGCTATACAGAATCGCTATGTATACCCCCTACATTGCTACCGAGCCCTACAGATGCACATACACACGCACATATGTATATATATATATATAACCCGTATAGATACCCCTATGAGTATGTATAACATACATACATACATACATACACACACACACATACATACATACATACATACATACATACATAGGCGCCAACCATGGTAAAGCGGCCCTGTTGGTGTGGATGCTATGTAAACAAGGGGTGTCCCTAAACCCTAAACCCCTAAACCCTGAAGCCTAAACCCTAAACGTGTCATTGAGTCATCCTTGGGGGCTTTGAGAGGGGCGCAGGGGTATCAAGGATTGAGGTTGGGCACTGCCCCCACCCAGCAACAGGTAGGGGTTTAGGGATTAGGGATTTAGGGCTTTGGGTTTTACGGCTTTGGGATCTAGGGGATTTAGGGTTTAGATTTTGGGGTTTAAGGTTTAGGAATTTAGGGTTTAGGGATTTGGGGTTTAGGGCTTAGGGTTTAGGGAACGGTTAGGTAATAACTGCTCCTTGGTGGGGGCAATACCCCAAGGATAAGAGATCATGGTTGAGAGTTGCTTCTGTTTGTGGTGCTTATATTTGGGACTCCTCTGCATTGAGAGCAAAGGATGCTAGTCTCGGCGCATGACCCGTAAACTCTGAACTCTAACACCCTAAACCCTAACCTAGACCCCTAAACTCTAGACCCTTGAACCCCTAAACCCTAAGCCCTAGACCCCCTAATCCCTAACCCTGCTGAATGCGCTACGGTGAGAAGGCCTAGAGTTGGCGGGTGATGCGAGAGTTGATCTAACGTCCCTTTGGGGAAATTCTGGGTGTACTGCTTGGGGTTGAGCATTTAGGGTTTAGGATTTGGGGTTTCAGGTTTGGGGTTTAGGGTTCGGGGTCTTCCTGTCAGTGTAGAAGGAAAATCTACAATAAAAAACAATTGTCCAGAGAGGCCGTTTTGGGAAACAGAAGGTTAGATCCACTACCATGCTGGATATGTCTCAGGTTCTTCATGGTCCCAGCGGTTCATGAGTCTGAGGCACTTTTGGCAGGCTACTCCATAAAAAGCCCTTACCCTATACCTCCCTAAACCCTAAACCCTATACCCTCCTTACCCCTATATCCTAAACCCTACATCCTGCAGCCTAAACTTTTCACGAAACCCGACACTTACCCCCGGCCATCGTAAAGCGCAAAGCCTCAAGCTTCATTCAACCCCAAAAGTCCCTGAGACCCCAGCTCTATCCTGACGCGGTTTGGGGTTTAGGGCGTAGGGTTTGGAAACCCTAAACCCTCACCCTAAACCCTAAACCCTTAAATTGATCTAAACCCCAAATCCGAACTCCAGCCTCACATCGCAGGGGAGCCCGGGTGAAGACTCCTGGTGCAGGCTTACAGTTTATGGCTTAGGGTTTAGGGTTCAGGGTTTGGGGTTGGGGATTTAGGGTTTGAGGCTTTAGGGCTTGGGTTTTAGGCCTTAGGGCCGAACCAGAACTGTAGATATGACCCCACCGCAACCATACCTGGGGCCTTAGAAGACTTGCAATAACGATGTCAGGCTCCGCAGATTACGTACATGTCCGTCAAATTGTTACTGAGCCCCTAATTCCCTTTTAAGGAAAAGAGAACCTTTTCAGAATTTGTATTGATGTAAGTCAAACTCACACCCCAAAACCAATTACAAACATCTCGAATGCGGCTGATTGTGTGGTTGCCAAAAACCGGCAGACCTCAGATAAATGAAGTAAGCCCCATACAATGACCCCTAAGAATCCTAAAAAGAACCCACCGTTCACATCCCTCCCCGGACTACCCCTACAGCAAGACAGTTTTGTGGCATTCAGCCACATATTACCATTATAGCGACTGTTACAGAATGACCATTGAGACTCCACTTGCAAGAAGCCTACGGATGAAATCCTGAACTTACTGGTGCGTTAGGTACAGGTGGGGAGTGGACACGGAAGCCTTTATAATCGCACCACAACTCACTAACCCACCATCCTTGAGCACCAGCTGAACCTACGTCTTTAACCCCGGACCCTAACCCCGACTCCGAAATAATACAGCAGTTTGGATTCTTTCCCACTCCACCACTACCCCTGAGCATCAGGCATTGGAAAGAGTAAGGAGGCTAAACCAAAATCCCCAGGCCGGATAATTCCTGGCAGGGGATAGGCGAATGCAATCCCATAGAATCCCCATATAGTACACTCCCTCATTCCCTACTAGGCCCCAGTAAGGTTTAGGGCTTGAAGCTTGAGGTTTTGAGTAAACCCTAAACCCTAATCTCTAAACCCCAGTTCTAAACCCTAAACCCTGAACCCCAATCTCTAAACCCTACACCTCTGAGACCAGGTCCTGGGCCCGCTCGTGGTCCACAGCACGCCATTGGGATTCCATGGTAGCGAATAAGGGAACATGTAATGTGGGGGTTATACACCTATCAAAAACCAGTAAGTAGAGCAGTTTGCTTTGGTTTGCTTGGCGCATTGAACTTGTTCAAAGTGTGCGCGGAACAACTGACGGCACAGGTTTCAAGGGCCATTATTTGGAATCCATGGATGGGTTCGTCCAGGGCCGGGATAGCTGGTAACATGTCAGTCAACGATCTGAAAACTGGTCGAGCCTGAATTCTAGGGCCGAGACTACACAGTCAACTCAGCTGAGGCTTTGGGGCTCCGGACTGGCAACAAATTTACAAAAATCTGTTAAATCGCCTTGCATACGCAAGTCCCTACTTTCTTCGAGCCTCCACTGGCTGGGGATATGCTGACAGTTAGCAAACTAAATATGACTGCATGGTCCCTAATAATGGGTATTCAGGATATATATATATATAGAGAGTAGATGGAGGTAAACAAGCTGCCCGTCAGAAAGCACAGCAAAAGAGACTGCTCGCCTAAATTCTGCGGCATCCCCGGCACAACAGTCCCACACAGGACCGACCGGCTCACCGATAAAAAGCCAAACAAACTCGATTTCAGATACTGGTTCAAAACAAGGCATTGCCAATAATTCAGTTGCAGGAGCCTGTTGGCATAACATGGGTACTGGGTTGATGGACTGAGGCCTCTTTGCTGCTACATCTGCTACATGTCTGCATGCACACATGAGGTCCAACCTTGGCGTGAAATAACCGCAAAGTACCCAAGCAGGGTTCCCTCCATCTGCAGCTTCTTTCCTTGCATGCCTGCCGGCATGGATGACAAAGATTAGAAGAGTGCAGCTGCACTTCTTCACCCCATGAGGTGGCCATGCAGGTTTCAACCTGTTCAGACCTTGGCTACAGCGGTACGTTGCTTGATCTGCATCTCGGCTACTTCCTCCAAGAGAGCATGAAACTCTCTAGGTAACAACTGTACTCCAGTAAAGCGTCATGACCCAAGCCGAGGTGAAAAGCGGCCTTGCACCTTCAGCTCATTGTGAGACGCCCCTTCTGCTTTCAAGGCGGAAGCTGCCTTGTGACGCCAAACACAAGGCAGGTCAGCCGAAAGCGCCAATGGCCTGCAGTCGTTGCCCACTGGACGCATTTCGGGGACTTGGGCGTCATAACCAAAGTGTCAGCAAGTATGCTGCTAGCTAATGAAATCTTAGGTGGACCCCCCAGCCGGTCATAGTGACTATAATGGGTAATAACGATTATATTAGGGTCGTCTTCTATTCCCATTTTTTCCACTATTAAAGGGTGGGGGGTCCTCCTATCCCCAAGTCCATCACAAGGAAGTCTGGGTGCCCTTCAAAACTTCAAAACCTGGGCTACGTTATGTTGGAGACCGAACCCAAACGAAAATGGCAATGCTGCAATTTGGTGTCTAGGCTTCCTGTTTCCAAGCTTGGCTCAAACAGCTCGAGTGGAGGATGTCCAAGGCATGATGACTGGATGCAAGCCTCAGCTGGAGCTTCTTGGCTTTGCAAAAACCATAGCGCTGCTTTGCAGCGTGTGGCTTGCTGCGCCAGAATCAATGGCTAGATCATGCTGTACAAACTTCCTTGCGTTGGTTTGGCAGAGGGGCGGGTATTTCCCAAAATGCGACACAATGGTCAACCCAAGCACCTCTCTGAGCAAGTTGCAAAAGCTCCGTTCACTGATTCAACGAACAATCTCACACAACTTGTCGCACTCATCAAAGAGTGCTTCGCAGCGTGTCGCATTCATTGCGAGGTCGTTGGGATGCAAAACATACCATCCGTACTTGTTGTGGTAGTAGATGGTATCTGCGCAGGGCCCAGTCGACAGGAGCGGTACACCCTCACACTTTCATGTAGCAGCGCATAAAATCGAAGCAAGGCAAACTATCCCATACGGCGCCTTCACGCAGGTCACTGGAAGGCAGTGTGGCTGCATAGATGCTACTTTGAGCACCGGCCGTCACCGTGATCCGTCCCCAATCAAAGGACTTCAGCATCGCACCTGGCGGGTGGCTTTCAACTCTGCATGTCTTGTTGCCTTTGCCTCACTCTTCAACTCACCTAGCGAAGAGCAGTGCGCATCTACAAACTTCGGCCGACTCAACCCCCCCACATTTGCCGGATGGTTGCTTCGCTACCTGCGGTTTATGCCCACGAATGCTTGTGTGTGATCCCAGGGTGGCAAGTGGAACACGGACAGCTTTGCAGAGTGGTCCAACCCTGCCTTCGAGACAACCCTTCGGCTTGATGAACTGAGAGCGAATGACCTCACAAAACAGCCAACCTCCCCGAGAGAGACATCATCACCAAGTTTCTCTCTGAGCCCTTCTTGGACAAGCAGCCCCTGGGTGGACAGCCACGATTTCAGAGCACAGGCCACGTCGCTTGGTCTCGCGTGCCAGCATTAAACCTTGCTACAACACGCGATTGAATGAAGGAGGGACACATGCTTTGCCATGGGGCATGCTCACACGGCAACAACCGGCCGAGGTGCACAAGCGCCATCTAGCACCACGAAACCCTGTGCCGTCTCCGGTTGTCAACGCAACGCGTTTTGACGCAAAATCGACGCGCGACTCACGTAAAGTCTGTTCCAGCACGATATTTTGCTGCATCTTGCGCATGTTCGAGAGGTGTTGACGCAACATTAAGCACGCGTGGAGGTGTTGGGGAAATCTTAACCTTGCCCACGCAGGGAGTATTCCGAAATGATACCTGGCCTGTGGTAAGGAAGAAAAAGAAAATCCACCCAAAGAAATCGAGCGGCGTGCCAAACAGGCATTAGCGTAAGCCGAAATGCCTTTCCCATTGAAGTGCGGATTTGCAGACCCATCCTGTGGCGCTGCAAGTCCAAGGTTCTCAGTGCAATGTACCCTAAACCCTAAACTCTAAAGCGTAAACCAGGGAAGTCCAATTCGATTTCCTAGATTGTAAGGCAAGGCCAAGTCACAGAGATGGCGTAGATATCTCCAGTCACCCATCTGGGCTTTGCGTAAGGCTTGACTGTCAACGTGGTGCTTGCCCTAACAAAGCCCCACGCAGTATGCAAAGAGACCATTTCTTTCGCACACCATTATTTTGCTCTTGCTAGCCGCAAAAAAAACACCACCCGGTCCAGTGCCGAGATGCACAATCCGGCTGGGCTTCAACATGTAGTTTAAAAGGTGGTGGCCCAACACGCACCTCAGGAATTGCAAGACTGTCTGATAGGAGGCCTGGTCCTTGGAGTACACCGTCTTATGATCCTTTTCGCCTCTCTGGCTATTTGCGAAGCTGGCTTTGAGGACTCGAACTCAAACACTGGAATGCCTGCCGTGCAACTCACTGTGCTGGTCGTTTAACAGTCTTAACAGATCCACATGGTCAAGTTGCGTAGCAAACGTGATCTCCACCGGTCCAGCTTGCCCACCGTCGTCAAAAACTGCGCCAGCATTGTTGATCAAAACGTCAATGACTGCATGGTCTTTCAGGATCTCTTGGGCCTTGTGACAAGCCGTCGCAAGTGAAGCTGCAAACCCATCATCTAGCATCACTTGGTCTAGCAAGGCCATCTGAGTCTCCAAACGCAGGATCGCGCACTGTCCACGCTGGAGACATCACACTTGAAGACCTGAGAGGGGGAAAAGTCGCTTTGCGCATCCGTGGACGTTGAGGGGGCAATCAAGACCGTGATCGTCCTTTGCCCTCTGACTGACACACGGTATGACTCCAAATGAGGATTGTAGTCCTATATCACTTATATAACCCCTACATATGCCCAAATAATCCCTACATATCAAAATGAGCTACAGTCTAAACTCCTTAAAGGGAGTTGCATAGGGGATTATATAGAAAACTACTATAGGTGTGATTAAGGGGGATACTAGGAGTTTAGACTATAGCTCACATGAGACTAGCTAGCTCTGAATCTGAGAACCCAGAGCCGTAGCAGAGCAGCCTTTGGCTTGTCTTTACCAGTCTGTTGCATGATGACTTCTGCGTCACTGTCAGCCTTCTCGATGTTTCCTGGGTGCTGGAATAGTCTGGGCTGCTCGTTACAAACAATAACAATAATAATAGCAGTAATACTAGTAACAATAATCGTTACAATACTAAGTTACAAAAAGAACAGCAATAAACATAAGAATTATAGTAGTGAAGATAATGGTTGGAATTATAACAACAACAGTAATCTAACCCTACGTGTGAGAGCCCACCCTTGACAAGAAATCCGGGACAACAATCTGTGCAGATGCGGGTCGCGCAGCCAGCAAGACTGTGGCTCCAGAACGTGCCAAGGCCAATGCTGTTTCGAAGCCAATGCCACCGCGCGATGGGCCCGTGATCACCTCATTTTCCGGAAGTTACAACTCGCCTGTGTTCAACTAATATTTGTGAGCAGCAACCCATGTTATCTCAACGTGGCTCTGCACACATCTCATGCTCTGTCCTCAAACACCTCATGCTCTGAGGCACCACAGTTTTACCCGTCATGTCCACTTCCGGGGCAGTGAAGTCACCCTGGAACCTCGCTCCGCAGTACTCAGGACTGCTCCACATGACCACTGGACTGTGCTGGTTACACAAAAAAAGGCTCCTGTCGCCGATCAACTGGGCTACGCTACGACTACAGCGCTCCTGTCATTACCTCAAGGACTCAAAGGTTCGGACGAACGTGGGAACTAATACATCCAGGCGGCATCATGTCCTTTGCCACCCGCATTGTCGCCGCCATAGCTCTCTGCCCGGAGACTTGCGGGTCTCGGGCGCCCTAAACTGTGAAGAAACAGTTCGAACCCATCTCGAAACAGCAACGTATTTGGCCGATGCGATTCTTGCAGTGACCCTCTCCAGCCCCTGTAATTTCTAACCCTCCAGCCTAGACATCCAATCAAACTACACCATGCCCAGCGCGTTTTGCGAGGCCGTTGCCGCATGCCCATGCATACGTTGCAAGCAGACAAGGCCCACACGTGTCAAGGCAGGAAGCATCTGCCTACCCTTCTTCTTACTGGTGGTTAGCAGGGAATGCAGGAAGGGATAGCAGCTCTTTTTGTTAGTCCATTCGCAAAGTCTTAAGGGCCGAACCTTGGCTCAACCGCTCACGTCACGCCACACGCAGCGGCATCACCTGAACAGAGTGCATGAGCAACAAATGTGAGTCACGGAGCTGCATGCTCACTGGGTCCTGATCACTACCTAGGGCCTAAACCCACGGAATTGAAGCAAATGAAGAGCGCTCTCTTTTTCACCCCAACGCCAAACAGCCGGCGCAGGAAGCGCACCCAGCTGCTGCAAGAGCTCCTCCCGCCTTAGAAGGTTCGAGCGTCTTGGTTGCGGGATGGTTAACTCTGCAGGGTTTGTCATTCTCATGCTTATAGGGGTTATATTGGAATAATCGAAAATCCCATGGAAACTACTATTTAGGGTTTAGGGCCTAGGGTTTGGGATTTCGGGCTTGGGGTTCATATAGAGTTCTCTGGGTCCACACTGAGGATTGAAACCTCGAGCTCGCAGGATCTAACGGAGACGTCTCACTTGCGAGAGGCTTGAAGGCATCCATCTTGACAATCCAATTTTGTAGCCCGCAAAACGTGCCGAACGAAAACAAATAGTTCACATTCACCAAACGTTTCACGCATTCTTCCTGAACTCTGACTTAGATCCTGCGCCCTACGCACTGCGCCCCTACGCACTGCGCCGTCAGTCTTTCCACAGTGGAGCGAAAATCCTCAGAAGTCCAAGCGTGATGTTTCATGAAACTGTCCGTCCACGTCCTCCCCATTCCACCTTTTCCTCTGGCCGCCTCCTTCCCTCTCACATGCTCAGCCCAAGCTGTCCGATGAGACGAGTCTCTTGACAGCACTGTAGTAAGACATCAACGTGAGCCCTTAAGCTGTCGTGCAAGGAGGCCTTGGAAAGCAAAACATGTTGAGGAGACCTGTGAGGTGACAAAATGCGGTATCACTCGTGCAAGCGTGCTCAGAGACCATGTTGTTGCGGTTGGCTGACCAGTGGCAGCTGTTGTCTTGACCATGTGAAACCCAAGCAACCAGACTCTTTCGATATATAATGCGACAATGATACGAGTAAAGCCACGCCATCATCAGGGGCGAACTTCGCAAAACCTTCGTCCTGCTGTTCAATGCCATAAGCTGTAAAACTACACATTGTTGGAACATATGAGCCAATGCAGAGACCCAAGTGGTCAGAAACCGTTTATTTATACCACTCACTGATATCATAATCAGCTCCTACCCACATCAATCCCGAGTGCCTGTACATATTCTGCCCCCGTTTCTAGCTAGTTCTCATTTCATTTTCCAAGTCTTGTCCCACGTGATTCTCCATGGTTGTGCTAACATCCCTGTACCCCAAAACCCTAAACCTCAAACCCTATGTAACCCTATATTGTGTATATAAACCTCATGATCTCCCCTAAGCCCTACCCCAAGCCCCCCAGCCCTAAACCCCAAACCCTAAACCCCAAACCCTAAACCCCAAACCCTAAACACAAAACTCTAAACCTGAAGCCCCAATATGCCAAAAGATGTTAAGGGTAATGGAAAAAGAAAATGAATTATATAGGGATAATGGAAAAGAAAATGGAAACTACTGTTTTGTAGTATATTGGTGTCATATAGGGAAGAAAATGGAAACTATGATTTTATAGCATATTTGGGTTATATAGGGATAATGGAAGGGAACATGGAAACTACTATAGTATATCCCTAAACCCTAAACCC